TCACTTAATTCATATTTAAATGACACTTTTTGCTTGTAATTAAGACACTCAAGTAGTGTCTCTGTTCATGAAATTTACATAACTGTACAATAGCTTGCCTAAATGAACAGCGAATGGCAGTTAACCTTGAAGTGTATTATCTTAATTGAATAAATCTGGCTTTAATTCAATAAATTAAAAACATAGAAATAATATCGCAAAAGACTTTCCAACGCAGACATTCCATCCCCCATGAATACAGCATGGGATTGTTTATAGTTGGGTTGGAATGCTCGAACATTTTCCAGTATGATTTTAGAACTCTAAAAGCATTCTGGTACACATTTGCTGTTTTTCCATCATTGTTTCCAAAGAAAATCAATGTCACTTTCTGGAAGTCATTGATGAGAATATCTGAACACTAGATCAAAACACGAGCTTACTGATTGGAGATGGTTCCTCCTCTGGGCTTCCAATTCCTCCATCAACGTGTGATATTTGATCTTCCTTTTTCCAATTCTAAATCTCCAATTCTACATCATGAGTGTCTTGTGACAGAATAAAGGCTAACAGAGGAAAGCAGACTTTTTTTTTTTTTTTTTACATGGGAAAGAGGTCTTCTTATCACTTTTCCATTTAGACCAGATTTACATGGATGGCAAATCCCTTCAGTGAAGGGGAACTGGGAAAAGATGCTGAAGTCCCCCCTCCCAAAGTGTGTTGCGTTAATCAGCATGGTCATGTCTCAGTGATTATATAGTTAAGGGGAAGAAATCATGCAATATGTTTTTATTTGCATGAAATAAGTTAATGAGTCATCACCTGTGCCTTGTATCCATTTACTGGGGGGGAAAACAGGATAGCGCAGGTGTTCTAAGAGCATCGAGCATCGTGGCAGATTTTATACATTAATTTAAAAACCCAACCTAAAATCATTCATCAGCACTCAGCAGTGCATACTGCTAAGGAATAACTCACACAGATACACACACACAAATAAAAAAAAAAAATCATGGTGAAGAAATTCTTGGTTTCTTGGCTAGCAAGAAGAAAAGAAAACAGGCTGTTATTCTTTCTTTTCCTGGTTCTCACAGTGTTCACTATTATACCATCTGCAATATACAACGTACATGCTCAGCCATAACCCGTACTGCTGGAAGAGAAGCATTCACACTGTGAATTACCATTTTTCCCAGCATCTAGCTCTAGTCAAAGACAGCACAATAATAAACTAGAAGCTGCTTTGTCTGTTAAACATTGTTCTTCATTACTACATGAAAAGCAAATTGTCTTTGTACAGAGGAAGAGTGGCACACACGGTCATGGGGTGGGGGAGGGGCTTGTCTCTCCCTGACCACCTCAGGGCTGCAGAGGCCTCTTGTCTGTCCACCTTCCCTCACGGGCCCACCCAAGGATGCCTTGGAAATCACTTTATTCACAGGCACCTGGGGGACTGACCCTAGTTCAGCTGCCTGAGCTGCTGGGTTAGAGACTCACCTATGTTTCTACACCCGCTGTCCTGAAGCCCCTCCCCCACCCCATACACCATTGTAAATCACTTCAGTGTGTCCCTTTTTACTGTTTGGAACAAGGGACGCTTATCAGAGATATTCTGTTTTCCTGGGACTAAATATACTCAGCAGGTTATTGTGGGTTACTTGGATCCTTAAAAGTCAAGTAAAAAGCAAGCAAGCAAAAAATTATTTGAAGCAGTGGATATGCTTTAAAAATGTAAATATGCAGCTATTCTACACGTAACAGCTACCATGAAAGATAAGAAAATGTGTAGATGAGACCAGAACTACTCATCCAATGAAAGGGTCCTTGTCACGAAAATCAGTCATTTGTAAGAAATTAATGATGGTCCAGAGTGCCCCCCACCCACTTTTGGATGCAATAAATCCTAACAAATTTACAACACAATTAGGCCTGTTAAGAAAAACTTCACTAAATTAAAAGATCATGACTGTCTCCTCCTATGGAGGCCAATGGCCAAACTCAGGTCCTTATTTAAAATCTCAAAGAAAATGACTTCTTAGTGACATCTAGTTTGACCTTCGGCGGATCATTTCCAGGTTGTGCGGCTGCGGAGATGTGCCAGGAGAGGTGGGGGACACTACTAGATGTGAAATGCGTGGCCATGTCAGGCCTGTAAACTTTGCAGGACAGGAGGGACCGGCTGTGTGAAACGTGGCTCCTGGTATCAGTCCAATGTGGACATCCACGCACAGGCCCATTTTAGTTTCAAAACGATGTGAAATCTCAGCGGAGACTGGAAAAGTCCCAGGGAGGGGTGTCCAAAGACAAACTCTGAATAAGTAGTTCTTTCCACGCTGTTGGGGTTTGCAGTGTGACTTTGTGACTACTTTTCCTTGGCTTCGTGTAGGAAGAGTGCTTGGCTCCCTGAGCTGTCGGGAGACTGTCAAAGCATCCCTGGTACAAGATAGTCGTGTACCACGGCTCTCCATCCCTTTGGCAATAAGATGACTACCACAGCTCTCCATCCCTGTCGGTTCACAGTGGATGTAAGCTGCCATTAGCTGCCTTTTCAGGTGCCAACTAACTTTTGATTTTAATTTGGGGAAAAAAAAAATTGCCAAGAAGTATGTTCCATCTGTCTCCCCCTTAAAAGAGACCCAACTTTTGTTTACTTTTAATGAACTATACTTGAAATGGCAATTTGAGACTCATCAAATATTTGTGATGGGACTGGGGCTGTGGCTTAGCAGTAGAGCACTCGCCCAGCAGGAGAAAGGCCCCGGGTTCGATCCTTAGCACCACATAAAAACAAATAAATAAATAAATAAAGTTGTTAAAAAGTGTTTGTGAAGATAATCACGTCATTCTCTCTCAACTCTGAAATCCTGATATTCTAGAACAGTCCCCATTGTCTAAACTTTATATATACTCAACCCAGGAAAAAAGTTCACTCCCCAAAGCTCACACCTCCTATTCTATCTAAACAGAAACCTACCTATGTGTTTACATCAGGTACTGCCTGACTTAGGGCCAGTGTGTCAGCTTTCCATTGCTGTGACATAATGCCTGAGAAAAAGAACGGAAAAAGGAAACATTTATTTTGGTTCACAGTTTCAGAGGTTTTCATCCACGCTCACTTGATCCCATTGCTCCAGGCCTTTGGCAAAGCAGAACATCTTATGGGGGGGGGGTGGGGGAAGGTACTCACCCACCTCTCAATAGTGCCACCAGCTGGGGACCAAGCCTTTGATGACATGGGAACATTCTGGATCCAGACTCTAGCAGCCAGCTTTGATTTCAGCAGGTTCATCCTGTGTAAATAAGATGCTGACATCAGCAGGAGAGGGAAAGGAGTAATCTCAGCCCTTGCCCATGAGAAAGTGGTAAAAAACACATGAGTCATGTTGGAAACATCTGTCTTCAACCCCAAATTGAGGACTTCCCAGACGGAGGGACAATTTGTGGATCCCACGTTCCACTCTCCAACACAAACTGATGGATCATCTGACTTAAGCCTACCGATATGTACAAAGATAACTAATGGGTTTGTTTGGGATAATGCTGTCTTTCTTTGGAAGTTTGCAAGCTGGCTTCCAAATTGTGACAACAAAGATATTGTATTCTTTTAATTTTCAGCTTGAATGCCCCTTCTTAACCTAGAAGGACAACCCTTGCTCCTCAACTCACACCACCAAGCATTGATTAGCAGTCGATCTCCTTCTGCTTTTCCTCACCTGCAGGGAGACAGGCTGAACTTGCCACCATGGCCCCTCCCCACGAGGCCCTTTCCTCTCAGGAGCTCCTCTCTGTCCCTCCTGGTGGCCCCTCGGCCCATCGTCCCAGAGCACCCTTCTTAACAGGGGACCGAGCCTCCAGAGCCAGGTAGCCAGGTGGGAGCTGGGTGGTCTTCAAGCTGGGCCAGGATAACCCTGGCTCCCGGGCAGCTGCTGATGTCCTGCATTCGATGCAGCCCACAGGGAGAATGTGCAGCCCGAGGGTCGGCAGTTCCAAGATCAAGACCCTCTGGCCTATAAGGAACACAAAACAGCCCCTAATTTTGTGTCACTCTATGTGTGACGACTTCTTGTGTGTCCTTCCCTCCGTGGCCCCGCTCTTCCCAGACACCCCTCTGGCACCATTTACTCCTGAGTCTTCTGAAATGGCTCTCTTTAGAGTCACCGACCCCCTTACTGGTCCAGCCTAGCCGGCGCTTTGCTGATGGTTTCCTGACACTCTGACGTCTCTACTGCCACTGCTTATCATCCTTCCCCTCTGGGCACCTGGACACTGCTCTTCAAGCCTTCACCCTGACCATCCTCATCATCACTCGGGGCAACGCCAGCGTCTCCTGCCTCTTTTCTCGCCGGCCTCTGTTTAAATACCCACCCATCTTCCACCGCCCTCTCCTGGCTCCTCTTCACAGACTTCACTCTGCACGGTATTATCTCACATGTCTACCTTTCCTTTGTCTGTTGTCTCACCCCCCCTTCTCCCCCCAGAATGTGGGCTCTATGGTAGAGCAGGGACAGTGGTCACGTCTGTGGTCCGAGCCCCTGGTGTACCTCATGGCCACGTGTGCAGATTTGCAGAATGATTTCAAAAACAGAGCAAAGAATCAACGAGTAAGTGGGGGGACCTGTGCTTAGCGGGGACCCTCCAGGCTGCGGGCCCTGGGCTTCACGGGGACCCTCCAGGACGGGCTGGATCTGCTTTCTTAAAGCTCCTTTCTTTCCTGCCTCCTAATATGCTGCCCGAAGCTGAGACTTATGTTTCCATGACTACTTCTCTGTCTCCCTCAAAGCCTCCTAGTCCTCCTCTGGCTGCTCCCGAGATTCCCTCCCTGATGGCCCACGCCATCCCCCGCTCTGTGCTCTGTTGACAGCTTGTTCCCGTGTGACACTTGAGTGGCACAGGATTCCAGGTGTCCCCCCACATCTGCAGAACCCACGGTGTCCTCTACCATGGGGCAGGCTGGCCGCGCACAAGCCAGGGCAGCTGCTGCTGGCCTTAGCATCTGGGCAGGCCTCGAGGCAGGAAAAGCTGTGCACACCTTGGGAAATAACAAAAGGGCCCGAGTGGCCTGAGGGAGGACTGCAAGGGTCCAACCATGGCCAATATGGTGCAACCAAATGTACATCATGTGCCCACAATTGACTAAGAGGTGGGCTAAGGAGCTCCCGAGGGACCACCGGCCCCTTCATCTCTGGAGCTCTGGGTCTCAGTGGCACCTGACCTGTCCAGCGCTGCCCATGTCCGCGTCCCCCTCCGGCTCCTTCAGTTCCTTCTGCAGGAGCCCTCTCGGGCTTGCCTTCTGAGGTCCCTTGTGGTCAATCCCACGGGTGCTGCTTACTTCAGTCAACTAAAGACCCACCACTGTTGGTTTTCTTTTTTTCAAATATTTAACATTATCTAGAACAAGAAAATGTGTTTTTGACCCAAATGCCAAGAATCCTCATGGAACTTAGAGTATAACAGAGAACAGCCCAAGTTTTTAAGTGGAACTTGAAAAAGACACCCTTCGCCTTTCCCTCTTTTACCCAACTTTGTTATCTTGTCCAAGTGGCTCCTCTCCTTCTGGCTCGGTTTCACTCTGATTAGAGTCTCTTCCTTTAAGGAGAAGTTCCCAGTGATGTTCACCTCTTGAGAGAAAGCACATCTAGTGAGGTTTCCATGGGGACGTGACACCCGCCACAGAGACATCGCTGCGTGCCCGTGTGTGCCTGGCTGGTCCCTCCTGGTGGCATCACAACCCTGGAATGGGAACTTCCGGGGGTTCTCAGACATCACCACTTCTGATATCTTCAATGGACATGCACCCAACAGTCAATGAAAATGAAAGATGAGCCAGTGCAGAGGTGAAGCAATCACAACACTCATGTATCTTCAAAACCTTTGGAGAAAAACAATCAGATATTATGAAGAAGGGGATTTTACCAGGCTTGGAAACCAA